TGTTTTGTTGGCAAATTCATTAGTGGAATCTATAAGAAATTCAATATCTTAAATATAGTCAGTGTCACTACCATGGATCTAGTGCAGTGGTTCTCAACCTTTTTAATGCCGCGACCCCCAACCGGTCGTAAGTCGAGGACTACTCAACTGGTGCAGCACCGTTTGCAGAATGGGACTTTTGGCAGGCTCAGCAGGGCAGCCTGAACAATCCCTATTGGTTTTTGAAAGCCATAGAATTAGACTCTATTCAAGAGAGTCTATTCTATTGGCTTTCAAAAGCCAATAGAATAAAAGGGAGTAGCACAGCTAAGGAAAAGGGGAAAAAATGGCGGACTGCGTTGTTTGGCGACCCCCATGAAATGGTCGTTCGACCCCAAATGGGGTCCCGACCCACAGGTTGAGAACCACTGATCTAGTGGTATTTTCAGTGTAGCTGGAACTATTTTGTTTTGGAACTGGAACTCAATTTACAACAGATTTGCTTGTGGTTTTGTGCGTGAATGCAGCCAAATACTGTAGGACTGGAGATGGCTACTATAAAATACTGTTGGGCATATTTTGTAGTTAACAACCTTCTATATATAAATTCAAATATGTTTTGTACTGAAAGAAGGCTGTACTTCAAGTGAAGTACAATAAAGATTGCACTGTTGTTCTAAAAGTTAATATAATCTTAAAGTTCTCCCTTCCCTTAATCACTGGGGGGTGGAGGTAACTGTTATCTTAATGTTCAGTTATGCACCTGAATTTGTTACACATTTAGCAACTGAATTTGCACATCAGGTTTTCCTGTAGGTCAGGAGATAGGGTGAGTTCAGCTATTAATCATGTTCTTTTGACAGAAAAATAAAAAAAATGGCTTGGCTGAGGAGTCTTGATGATTTTAGTGGAGGCAGAGTAGAAAATAATTATGGCTCCTCTTGATTTTTGTAAGACAATCAGCTGATCTAAAGAAAACAGGCACTAATGAAAATTGTAAGCTCAGCACGAGGCAGCAGCAAGTAGCTTTACCTGGACTTAAAAGCCAGCCTGGGTTGTACTTGGTTACTGCTGGGATGGAGACTAAAAATGAATCAGGCTAGATTGAAAACTCACAAAAACATTTCAGAAGGAGGCAATTGAAGAACTTCTGTATTGTGGCCAAAAAATGAAAATCACCAGGAGCCGAGTTCAATTCGAAGGAGTCTTCACCTTTAACAAAAATGACAGCAGAAGATCAACCTGCTTTTCAGTTTAAAGAATGTCTTTTTTTAAGTAATTACGGTGGCACTTTTTCCTTTTTTTTCTCCAATTCTAGAAAACCCATTGTGAAGCCGAAATCATTCAGTACCTTTCTGTAAGCCAGTTATGATCACAGTGGCTGAAAACTAGTAGATTTTGAGGAGACTGAAATATTTAAAGCAATAAAACAGGTTGAATATAATGCATAAAATGTAAAAAAGACCCCTAAGAAACTGAAGGGGAAAAAAAGAGAGAAAAGCCATGGAAAGTTCTTTCCATTTTGCATCATCAGCGTACCTGCTGCAGTTCTTGGTCACCCAATATCAGCCTGCAACTATCAGAAGTCTTCTTACTTTGACCTAAAGGAAAATCTCTTGTGGGCCAGAAAAGACGGTTGGATGCTATTGTCGGTGCAGTGTCAGCCCAATGGCACTTTATTCCATAACGAACATGAATTTACTGCAGCAAAATCTGTCCTTTACAAAGAATATGAGTGCTTTAAAATTTTCAAAAAACATTTTATTTGGAGTTGACTCACACTCATCAAAAGCCCTTCTTTCAAGTGCTTGACCTAGTCCTGCTGCCCAGCACAAGCTCTCTCTGACATCAGAAGGGAGAGTGCTGGGTAAGTTGTCTTGAAGTTGCAGGAGATTGGGCAGGTACACAGCTCACCTGATCACTGTCCTATTATTTATTTATTTGAGTAAATTTATATGGCCACACTCTCAGTGAATCTAAGGCAGTGATGGCGAACATTTTAGAGACCGAGTGCCCAAAACTGGCCCCGCCCCACCCCACCCCCTGCCCCACCACTGCTCTATCCCCCATCCCCTGCCCTGCCTGCCCACAGGACCACTCATCGCCTCCAGGGCCCACCACAAATCGCCCAGGCAGCCCAGCAGCACTATGGCAGCCACACCCTCTGCCCGTGCCCTGCAGCACCAACTGCATGATGGGGCGTGAGGGCAGAGTCTTGTCTATGCTGCCTGGCTGCCATGTCCTTGGCTGCGCTGCTCCATGTGGGCCATCCTCGAGGGCGACTCTCCTTCAGGGGGGCTGCTGGAGAGGAGGGGGTTACAGGGGGAGGCAAGGCTGGGGCAACAGCACGTGTGCCCACAGAGAGGGCTCCGAGTGCTGCCTCTGGCACCCGTGCCATAGGTTTGCCACCACTGCTCTAAGGCATCTTACAAAAATAAAAAACTCAATATGCAAACAATAAAAACAAGCAGCGCAGTGGCCTAGAGGTGGAGCTCTTGCTTCATAATCAGGAGACCATGAATTCATTCCTAGGTAGTGGCAGATATTTCTCTCTCTGGGCATAATGAATTATTATCTACTGTGAACTCTGCATAGGCGCCAGAAAGGGCATCTGACCAGTAAACGCTCAGCTCCATTCAGTCACCCCAACTCCACCCCGATAAAAAGGATTACAGGATCGTAAAAAGAAAAAAATATACAAACAATAAAAACAATAATCCCACCCCCACCCCCTAGTGACAACAATTAATCAAATAGGCCTCTTGATGGGCTCCATCCCATAATAGGTTAGATTATATTGACCTTCCACTTTGATAACTGTTTCACAAGACCCTGAAGACCTGGATTTACCAATACTCTGGACCTGGGCTCCAGAGTGTTGGTAAATCCAGGTCTTGTGAAAGAGTGTCAAAGTGGAAGGTCAGTACAATCTAACCTATTATCACAAAATGTATTCTGTTTTTAATTAAAATTTTCAAACAGCACATGTGGTATGTATGTATCAATCTATCTCCTTTGGTTTTTACTGGTGCATTTTCCCTAGTTTTTCCTATCATAGATAGCTACCCTGCGCTACTCTTTATGCATGTAGTCTTTTAGTATTTAGGTACACTGACTCCCTTTATAGACCTTTTGTTTTTTGCTGAAAATAGACGAAATTGAAGTGCTGATTTTGGGATTTATTGATTTTAAAGGTGTATCTATGGGAAGAAGGTAGCTACAATATATGGGAGGATGGAGAGGGCAACTATGTTTGAAACTGCTGCAAAGATCAGGAATCACTTCTTTCGTTACCTTTTTTTTTCCTGCTTTTTTATTATTCTTTGATTTTTTTTCCTTTGACCCTTTTATGTACTTTTTCTATTTCTTCTGTGCTTCTATAATATTTTTTATCTTTGTAAAATTTGCTTTTAATAACATTCATTCGTATTATTTAGATAACCTGATCATAAGTGCCTGACAAATGCATCATAAAACAAATAATTTTGAAAAAAAATGTTAGTTAAACATAAGAGTTTTTTTTTTAAAAAAATGATGTAAAAGCAATTATCCAATATGCTATCATTTAAAGATAATCAAAGAAAAATGAATCTTTGGAGCCTTTTTGAAAACATATGAATATGTCACTTTTATTATCTTTACATAAAATACAGGTAGTCCTTGACTTGCAACTGGTTGTTTAGCAGCCGTTCAAAGCAATGGATCCCCCTCCCCAAAATAGATTCTTTTGACCTGTTAGAACTGTTTTGATTCCAGTTCCTTCAGTGATCAGAGGAGGTTTGGTATTCTAAAGGACCCCATTTAATTCAATGAGGCTGAGCTCCTATAGTGCTTCCGTATATGGAATGGGGAAAGGTCAATGGCCTAAATATTGTTGAGGCTGGAGGGATGGCCATCTTTGCCCCTGTAGCCACAGACATCCCAGTTGGTTATAAAAAAAAATGCTGGTCATGGTCTACCATATTTTTTGTGGGGATCAAAAGATGAACCTAGGACGGTGTTTGGAAGTGGCAAGTGTGGGTGAAAGCTGAGCAACAGGTGGAAGCAGGCCAGCCTTGCAGTCTCAGAACATACTGAGAGTGACTACTAGATGGCAGAAATACAGTGCAATCTAATTCTCTAATGCAGAGGTCCCCAACCTTTTGGGCACCAGGGACCGGTTCTGTGGAGAGAGGTTTTTCCATGGACCAGAGAATGCGTGGTTTTCTGCGCTGCCTGCATCTTGCGGATGGGACTTTGCTTGTTTGTGCGGACTAGTTGCTGGCATGCCGCAGGCCGGTACTGGTCTACGGACTGGGGATTGGGGACCCCTGCTCTAATGGTCATCCAGATTCTTGCAGCTCAGGGAGCTCATAATACTCATGCTATTATTGCCATGGGCTTCTTGTTCCTCCCAGTTTGTATGCAGGAGCCCCAGGCAGCAGGTGGGCAACAGGACTCACACATGGAGAGAGAAAGAAGCTATTGCTTAATACTTAAGAAAAAAAAGATGGTGATTGGAATATGTAATCAAGAGGAGCATGTTTGTTTCCCAAGGGAGTTAGGAGTTAGCATTCGGAACGCAGCAGGGGTGGCGATACGAGAAGATCCTTTTGGGGGGCAACTAGCTTTTGGCTGTTTCCAGGAGCCATCTCTGGCCTAAGGTTATCTATCCATCCATCACTTCAGAAATGGTTCTGAGGTACCAAGTGGTTGTTGGTTTTTAGACAGAAGGAGAGTTATACAGCGTGTTCGGTCATTTTTTGTCCTTTCCTAGTAATTCTCATTTACTTTCAACCTCAAGAATTTTAGTGATATGTGTCTGTCAAATAGATACTAGTAATAACATAATAACAACAGTAATAATAATAATAATTTAAAAATCACATTGCCCATTCTAAATTCAGCACAATTATCTTGCATTGCCTTTTCAGAAATGTTATTCAGAAATAAATGTATTTGTTTCATGGTTTGTTTGTTCAATTTCTACTTTACTCACCAGATTGTTTGGTTGTTGTTTTTCCTTCCCTTTACTTTCCAAGGTCCTATCTTTGGGAGCTGATGTACTACCAGAATATAAGCTCCAAACACCTCGCATCAACAAGTTTACAATATTGCACTACAGTCCTTTCAAAGCAGTCTGGGATTGGCTCATTTTACTGCTTGTGATCTACACTGCCATCTTCACCCCTTACTCTGCAGCTTTCCTTCTCAATGACAGCGAAGAACAGAAGAGGCGAGTGTGTGGCTATTCCTGCAATCCCTTGAACATGGTAGACTTAATTGTGGATATTATGTTTATCATTGACATTCTCATAAACTTCCGAACAACATATGTCAACCAGAATGAAGAAGTGGTAAGTGACCCGGCAAGAATAGCAATTCACTACTTCAAAGGCTGGTTCCTAATTGACATGGTTGCTGCAATACCTTTTGACCTGCTGATCTTTGGATCTGGCTCAGATGAGGTAAGCTCAACAAAGCACACAACTTGCTTGATTTTAATGTATATGTCATCCCATGTCTACATGCCCAAGAGTAGATGTTATGAAACATTTGCCGACTGCCATAAGAAATGGAAGGCAACCATCATCTCAGTTCAGGAATAATCCCAAAATGTGATTGTTCATCGCCTTCCCCATTTTGTTTGCAAGTACAAGGAAGAGAACTGAATAGTCTAACTTACAACAAATCATAGTTTCCCATTTTGTCTGAGCTCCACAAACCAGGATATGCACAAAATATTTTATTTTCTCCCAGACCAGCAATGTGGAGTATGTATGTATGTGGTAGTCTGTGTAACTATTGTGTGTCTGCATAAAAGTGTCTACTATATGTTGGATGTTACTGGAGAGATTCAGGTTCAAGTCTCCATCAGTGCCTATCCATGATAAAGAACTCTGTATTAAAACACTTGGCCTCAAATCCTTAGTGTGAAGGAAGAAGCAAGTTGAAAAAGCAGCCTTGTCCTCTCTGAATGGACACTGCTGTCTTCAAGGATATGCAAACCTTGGATGATGTGTGTCCCTCCAGTGACATTTCAGGCATCACTTCCCACTCCCCCAAACTATTTCAATACGTAGCATGGTTGCTTGTTCAGCATAGCAGCTGCCCATCTTCTGGCTTTGTTGAGCACTGCTAGAGAAGATTGAGACCTTCACCTTCAGGGCTCACCAAAAACAAGAAATGCTTGGTCTTCTTCTGGTTTTGGCAAGTAAGAGGTAGGAGAAACCTCAAAACAATATCAGATGAAGCCTGGCCCTCCCCTTATCATTTCCTGAATTAACTTTTAGAGTATAGACAAAGGTAGGGAAAAGAATCCTTTCTTGTGTTCAAACTTCCTGTGTAAGTAACATCCTGAAGTTATTTGGTACATCATATGGGTCAGATTCAGCTTAAACAGTCTGGAAAATCTTCCCTCTTTCATTGTAGATGCATGTCCAGTTATTGTGCTGCTGCTGCTACTATTACAATTATTGCTACTACTACTATACTACTACAATTATTTTTATTAGCATAGCTCTTCTATTACTTACTTCATAAGAGTGAACTTTGGTGACTTTCTGAATTACCCCTTTTCAGGGCTGCTGCTTATTTTTTTGTTCTTGATCAGCATAGTATTCCAGTGATAATTCCCCTATCATGAGAATGATTGTGAATATAGTCAGCAGTATTATCTCTTACTCTAATTGCAACCTTAGTTATTGAGTCTTTTTTTAAATCCCTATTGTCACAAGGTCCCCCTATAATAAAGACCCCTGCTAACAACTTTGTCAACCAGTCTTTTTATGAAATGGCATTGCTTTCAGAGGCTTCACCAGGAGGTTCTCCAAGGCTCAGAATGTCTTGACTTCAAGCTGTTTTTAGAAAGGCCACAAGATAATAAGATGAATGCTTCCAGCCACACCACCTGTATAAGTCTGTTTGTGTATCAGCTTACTGAAAAAAAAAAGTAGATGACTGGTTATAATTCTTGGCCTAGTGGTAGTAGGCTCCTGTGGATTAACTTAAAATTGCTGTTTTTAAAATATTATGCTAGCATACAACTTAAACTATGAGATTTATGGCAAAGATATTAAATGGACATTTCTAGATGATAATGCTTGTTTTCCCTGTGGTTGTGCAATATCTTTCTGTAAGAATGTATGAATCAGTCTTAATTTGCTCTATCTCAGCTTTTTAGGAATATGCTAATTATTCTATTCTATAATAACTAAAAATGATTTTAAAAGAGACTGGAAAATCATATTCCTAACATTCACAACTTTCCTTCATATATACAGTTTACTACCCAATATCCCCAAACATAGTTTTTTGAAAAAAACTGAAGTGCTCCTAATATGTACTTTGGCTAAAAAGTCAGCTATCCTAATATCTACTGTTTTTTAAAACTGGTTTTCCAAATGTATGCTTCATCTTGAAAACAGCTTTCTCACTAAAATCTCCTTTCAAGTTCTTCACTGCTGCCCATCTGTGATTCTGCAAAGTTCATTTTACTGGAGGATCCCAATTTGTTCACACTGAAATTGCAGACAGATTCCTCTTAGGTCTTTATTTAACAATAAGAAATCAAATCAGAGATCCCACATAATAATTTTAGGATGCAGATTGCTCTGTCGTAAGTCAGTATCGTCGGCCTCAAAGAGCACAAATGCAATTTTTAAAAAGTAATACAGAGTGGAACATTAAAGTGGATGATTAGTATTAGACAACATGGGAAATAATTTTGAGCAACAAGTATGAACCAAGCATGACCCACATGGTAGATATAGCCTGACCCACTTTTTACCTGCAAGGAATAGTTTCTAGTTCAGATTAAGTATAAAGCCATATATCTTGGAGTATTTCAAACCTCTTCTAGAACAGGATGGCTAAGAGATATCAGTAATTAATAATAAATATCAAGTTTATTGTGCATAGCTCAGTGAGAACTTTTATTTCCTAATAATTTAGAACCTGGCTAGGTTTGTGGGCTTAGAGACTAAAATAGGTTTAGATTGATTTAGTACTTGCATCGGAGACTGCTAAGGGAATACTCTGACTATATGTTACGCTGAGAATGAAAAAAAACATAAGGAGTCAAGCTTGACTTGAGAACATATTTATCTAACAATTTAATAATATTAAATATTCACTACCAAGTAGAAAGAAAGGGGCTACCGCAGCTATTTTCTTGCCCATTTTTTGAGAGTGAAAAGAGCTTTACCCCTTAGTTTTACAATTTTTTTCTCAGTGACTGCAGGGGATGGAAGTTATATATAGCAATTCCTGAGTTAGTGATTCCCCCCCCCCCCCAGAACTAGGAACATGTTAACAGAATGAGAAGGCTATGAATCCCAAGCTTTCTTGGGATTCAATTCCTGACATGCTCACATAAGATCATGGGTTTTTTTTTTATATATCAGAAATGGCATTTAAATGATGTGCGCCATTAAAACTTCTGCAGTAATTGGAAGGGGGAATTTTTGAGGTTGAATCTCCCTTTTTACCCTTAGAGTGGAAAACCAAAACTTCCTACGGTGCTTAGGACACTTTCCATCAATCATAAAAAGTACAGCTTTACACCAATGCAAACATGCAAAACAATAAAAATCAGCTAATTCAAATAGTTGATGGGGGGGGGAGGAAAGCTAATTGGGCACAAGAAAAAGCTCAACAGTTTAAAAAAAAGCTTTCTGAGTAAAAAGAAAATGGCTAGACTCTACATTTGTGTTTTTTTTAAAAAATTAGAATGCATTTGTTCAAATGCAAATACTTCAAAAGTAAATTTTACAATCAGATTAGGGCATTGTCATCTCCTAATATATGCTGCCCTTCAATCGAGCAGCCATCATTATAAATCAAAGGAACACTTTTATTTTGGACAATGAAAGTTGAATAATAATTAATACTCCCGAAAGCTTCAGTAATCAGAACTGAGAAGAAGGAGTGTATATAGGGAGCTGGGATAGCCCTTGTCAGTCTCCTCCAAGCAATCATTTTTGTCCAACGGGCTCCTGACTAAATCCTTCCTAATATAAACACACAGAAGCATTTTCTGCCCTCAGAAAAAGCATGCTCAGAAAAGGAACCCGCACAGTAACAAGCAGTTGTATTACGTATAATGTGTGTTTAGTGAGTTGACCGGCACATATATTGCCATCTAGAGTTAGTCCCCGACTTACCACCACAATTGAGCCCAAAATTTCTGTTGCTAAATAAGATATTGTTAAGAGAATTTTACTCCATGTTAGTACTTTTCTTTGACACCATTGTTAAGTGAATCACTGCTATTGTTAAGTTAGTAACACAATTGTTAAGTGAATCTGGCTTCCCCATTGACTTTGCTTGTCAGAAGGTCGCAAAATCACACGAGCCCAGGACCCTGCAGCCGTCATAAATATGAGTCGATTGAAAAGTGTCTGAATTTTAATCATGTGACCGTGGGGGGTGCTGCAGCGGTCCTAAATGTGAAAAACGGTCATAAGTTACTTTTTTCCAGTCCTGTTGTAATTTTGAATGGTTGTAAGTCAGGACTCCCTGTAGTAGGCAGAAATCCGGGCAGATTCTTAAAAAGCTCCTGGGACACTAGATATCCACCGCAAACATGCTCATGGACTCTGTCTAGCTAAGAGGGATCCTTGCCTTTTAAGTTAGTTCTTTAACCAACTGACTAACCTACTTTATTATTATTATTTGTTTAGTTTATTTAAATATCACAAAATCTTGGGACTCCTTGTGACTTAATATAAAAACATTAAAAACAGAAATGCAATTACCTCAGCATATCTTGTTGTTGTTAGTTGCAAAGTCGTGTCCGACCTATCACGACCTCATGGACAACGTTCCTCCAGGCCTTCCTGTCCTCTGCCTTCTTCTGGAATCCATTTAAGTTCATACCTACTGTTTCAGTGACTCCATCCAGCCACCTCATTCTCTGTCGTCCCCTTCTTCTATTGCCCTCAATCTTTCCCAGCATTAGGCTCTTCTCCAGTGAGTCCTTCCTTCTCATTAGGTGGCCAAAGTATTTGAGTTTCAACTTCAGGATCTGGCCTTCTAAAGAGCAGTTGGGGTTGACCTCATCTAGGACTGACCGGTTTGATCGCCTTGCAGTCCAAGGGACTCACAGGAGTCTTCTCCAGCACCATAGTTCAAAAGCCTCAGCATATCTTAAACTGAAATAAATAACAATTTGTACATGCAAATTGCAACGATTTGCACGTGCAAATTGCAGTCCATAGTAGGGGTGCAGGCAAACAACTTGAGGATGACAAGGAGTCCATCTGGAAAGTTGGGAATGGTTGTGGAGGTGGGTCCCTGCTACCAGTGCACTGATCAGCTGTTTGGCAGTCAGCAACCTGGCACAGCAGCAATAAAAGAAGAGGGTGTTAATAAAATACCTGCTTCAAGTATTGAATACAGTAGGTATGTTGTTGCATGTATACATTTAGAGATCTTTTAAATGAAGCAGAGAGATTAGAAATAAAGA